GTCGTGGTCGGTTTTCAGTAGATCTTGGTTTGGATTCTTCCGTCGGGTCGCCCCATGAGAAGGATGTCGAGGAAGGAGAACAATCCATCTCTTTCTTCCCCTCGTGTGAAGTGATACCGGGCATCTGCTCGTTGATCATTTGGTGGAACTGATCTACTGTGGAGGCTGTGAGTATGGCGTACCGTATCCACAGACGAGGTTGTAGAATTTCAAAGGCTTTGGCTTCGAAGTGTCTCATAACCGCATCCGCAAGCAATCCTTAGAGTGGCGAACCCAATGGAGTTCCTCGTATCTGCTGGTATACCTTCCCGTCGAATTATAAATAGGTTTTCATACAGAATTCTACGAGTTTCGCCATTTCGTCCACGGAAAGTTTCGTTCTTAATAGCAAATTTTGGTCGTTTTGCCACAAGTGTCGGATACTTTCGATGGCCATTTGTTTCGGTATGTTGGTGAACTGTGGGGTCACATCGAAGGAGACCATCACTTCATCTGGTTCGATCGTTAGTCCTTTAATGCGTTCCAGGAATGCCGTGGGATTTTTCAAATCATTTTGGTTCGCAGGTAGGGATTGGCGTAGTAGCTGGAAGAGATACCTTGCGAGATTGTAGTTTGGTGCTGTTGTGGATGCGACAATGTATCGTAGTGGTACATGGGGTTTGTGCACTTTCGTTAATCCATGGTGGCGGACCTTCTGTGGGTTTGATTCGTCTATATTCTTCATCTGTTAGTTTCTTGTTTTTTTTGAGAGGAAAAGGACTTACTTATTTGGTTCCTCAGCTGCTTCACGGGATTTCCATTGACCGGTTGATAAGTTTCTTTGTCTTCGATGAGTTGTTTTATCTTTTTTGTGCATTCTGTTTTGTCCAACAGTGCGATCGCATTGCCTTTATCTGTCGGAAGAATGATAATGTTGGAGTTGTTCTTCAGCGATTTCAATGCTTTCATTTCGGCAGCAGGGATCAACTGCGACTGTTTCTGTTGGTTGAGCTGTTGGCATATTTTGGTCCCTATTTCTTCTCTTTTGTCTTTGGGCAACGAGCAGTTTCTTAGCCCGTTCTCCACGGAGGCTATGAAGTGGGCCGGTTTGGTATTGGAGTGGTTGAATATATGTATGCTGCAATGCAAGAGTGAAAAGGGCAACCAGAGTTCGATTTCTTGTTTTTCGCTTTGAGCAAACCTCGATATTTTTTATGGGCTCTAGCAGGGAATGCCACTGAATGATTAAAATCAGTCATTGCAGAAATTCGAGGTGAGAACATGTGCACCGTGGGACACGCAGATGTTCGTATTAAAGAATAACTCAGAGGTTCTTTGAAGTAAACAAATTCTCCTTCCAAAGTGAAGGGGTTGTTGCACATCCAAGCCCGATTCACAATTATATTCGTTTCGTCTCCGTCAGTCAACCATATATTTTGTGACATGTAATTCGTCGTTCTTGGCACTGAAGAGGATCCCTTCGCAACCTGTAGATTTTCTGTTTTATCTTTATTTTTGGGTACTTACTCCCTCAAGAGAATGAACTGGCCTCATTGATGAATCCGTGAAGAATCTTAGTACCATTGAGGAAGTAAGCTATCCACGACGATCGAAAAACCAAACCACAAGGCGTTGATGACAACGTTTCGAACCTATTGGAAGGCCTTTCTCAATTCGTTTATTCGGTTAATATCAATTACAAGCAATTGTAGAACGTGACGTGATACTGACCGATTAAGCCACTTGAGAAAGGCTTTCCGAGAGAGTTGAAATGTTGTCACCAACGCTTTGTAGTTTAGTTTTTCGATGGTCGTGGCTGAAGCAAACTAATTTCCTTGATAATCATGAGCACACACGCCCGTATTTCTGTGAAATCCGTTCCATTTTTGGATCTCGTGTGATTAATCTTAGTAGCATCGCACATAGTGGCTTCCCTGGAGCAATTTTGTCTTTCCTTCGAGGATGTGCCTCTAACCTTTGCACAGCCTATTGATACCTGTCAGACAACAGTGTGATGGTCGTTACCTTATTTGGTTGTAGGTCAAATTTTCAGACGTTGCTGTGCTTTCGACGAACGTTTTCCTCTCAGTGTTTTTTACACACCAGTGTGTGATGAACAGCAGGCCCCGTAGTCAGTGATGGTAACCGGCAGCCTAAGCCCCGGGGATTGGAGTGGTGAATCACATAAGGCCCCTATAGCTCAGGCGTCCCGTTGTACGAAGAGATCATTTGTCAAGCAAAANATGCCCTCACGTTTACCTAAGTAGCCGTTATCCTATCCGTAACCCGAAGAGGCTTCCGGTAGTCTATAACTGCCCTGGTCATAGGCTTGAATTAGCCTAGTATCTCCGAATTTTCTTTCATGTTTGTTGATCAATGCTCGATTTCAGCATTGTTCTGATTGCTTCAAAAAGGACTGATGGAATCCTGATTCCATGTCACTTGGCTTAATACTCATGCCATGTAACAAGGGCTGCTCCGCACTGGCACTCGACGTTGAAAGCCCGGAAATCAACGATATTATCTATTTTAACATCTCTTGACAGATTGATTTCAAAATCCGGCTTGTATGATTACCTACATGCCCGGTTACTTGTTTATGAACTTTGTTTGGTTTCATTTTCAACTAATTTCTGCATCTCTCAATTTCGCAGAGATTGTTCTCCCAGGTATGTTACTCTTTTCGTTCTCACTTGTCTACCCTCCGTGAACTTCACTTGGTTTACCCCTTTTTGTTGTCCTGTGGTGCCAATCTCTGTTGGTAACGCCACAGAGACCTAGGGCTGTCATGTTAGTAACGCACAAACTGCATAGCGGCTATTCGGAGCTAATGAACCCGACTAAGTGTCTGCTGCACTGTTTCTTCCCTCTAAAGCACTTCCCGAACGTCTTTCAACATACTTGTTCCATCTTTTCCACATACCAGGATAGTTTCTTCTTAGTTTGTATCTAACTGAATTCTTCACTCTCACAAACGTTCACTGGTTAGCTTTTCTCACCAACAAAAATGGCTTCGCACATTCCTTACAACTAACACCTGCGGATCAACCAAATCCGTTATTGGTTCTTCTACATAATTTTAAACAATCGGATGCGTGTTTCTCCAAATGATGGCTGATACCAATTTTTACGTCTGTGGTATGTATTGTCTAATGTTCAGTGTGATCTGCTAACTCTCGTCAACAAGATTCACTGTTACTCTGACAATATCCGTTAGCAGACACCCGCTCACTTCAATTGGTGTTGGTTTTCTTTGAAGGTTTGACGATTTCTATGCTTGTGTCTTTCGGAGCTTCCGTTTTTGCAATCATTAACCATACAATTTCATGCGACGGTTTTGGCTGCTGTCTCATGACTGCTCATTTGAATGAAAGGGTAGAAATACTCAAACCAGTGTCAATGTCAAAATGGAGTATTCATGAAGACTAAGGTTGCAAAGATAATGAATAGATGCACGAACGCCTCTGTTTACGACAATCAGTGCCACTCTCCATCGATTACAATGATCCCGATGTCCTCGGAAAGCGTAACGCCGCCTGTTTTTGAGTCTCCTGGTCAGGGTTTTTCCACCCTCTTAGTAGATCTGAGTCTGACTACCCATTAGTTTTTCACCTGCCTGGGCAAATAGCACGCACCGTGGCTATCTATTTGTTAATATGTGCCACACATATCCTGAACAACATAATCTATGAAGGTTGACTACTTGCTCCTGTGGGCGACCGCGAATACCTGAGACTGTCAGACTTCTGTATTGCTTGTCCGGTCTTCCCACCAGACTCATGCAATGCGACATAGACAGTAGTGTTCGAACACCGACAGTCTATCTTTATCCTGTTTTTTTAATAGCCAAGTCTCTGCGCCGTGTAACAGAACTGACCGAGCTACTGCGGCAGTGTAACTCTTTCATTACGATACTGTAGTAATGGTTTACCTATAATTTCTCTTCAACATCGTGCGGGTAGGCTGTAGGCCAGTGGTGTTAACATATGGCGGATGTTGCTGTAGTCGCGTTAAGTTAGTTATGTAGATGCCGAACATGCCTCATTTTGGTACATACATCTTTCATTTTATTCGACCTGACTGACTTGAGGAATCGTCGGTTAGTCGAAGCGCTAAGGGCATGGGGAAATCCCACCAGAATGGGGTAATGGGATTGTTGTCCCATTTTTTAAAAAGGAGCTCATATAATCTGTGACAGTCATGCGTAAATTAATCTTATCCCAGCCACATCAAAGATCCTAGTGTCCACTGACTGTCAGAAAAACAGAGCGCCCTGATCCGTGAGGAACGAGCTGGATTCGCTCTGATCGTGGTTGTATTCATCAAATCTTCGCACTTTGCCAACTGCTCAAACACCTTCATACCTGTCGGACACTGACAACCTAAATGTTTTTTGATGTCAAAGCACCTTTCGATTTTATCGATTGATCAGTTCCATGAAAGTGAGAAATAAAGAAATACATCTATCCTGAACGTTCTTTACAGACACTTCGGGACGCGTGAAGGCTTTCTCCACCGTTTGGTGTTTTCAGCGGCCTTTTCTAAGGATGCCCGTGTTTCACCATTTGTTTTCATTTTCGCAGTGGGCAATGCCATGCCTAATACTCACTGTCATCTTGAGAGTGGAGACGTAGAGCTATGCCCAGGTAGTAGTATTATTGATATAAAGTATGCAAATGATATTGCCTTGTTCGCGAATATTGGTCCCGGAGAGAATACAGAGGACAAAAAAGGCACCGAGTAATGAAGACCGTCATCAGAAATCTGTCATGTGTTGGCTTGTCTAACTTTCAGGTTAGTCAAAAACTGAATTGAACCGCTCGTATGTCGCGTTATTTTGTGTTTGAACTGCCAAAGACATGGAGAAATCACTTGACTATTGAACCCGCGTTGCAGAATCTTTCGTCATAACAAATCGCTCAGTATATTTCACAAACGCGTCTAAGGCCAAACTTTGTGTCAAACGAATGGTATAATAATCTTTATGAGAGAAAAATAAACGTTCCGTGATTTGCATGTGCGCGGATTACTGCCAGGTTGACCAGACCAAGCAGGTAAATTTTTCTAAGGAATTCACAGTCGGAGCCTTCGGCTAGCCAAAGTCTGACCCGCAAGGCAGCGGGGTGGTGTGTGAAAACCGCAATCCATTGGGGCCGGTGTCCAGTTCATCGGATCGTACGCCCTTTGAAACGTCCAAGATACCCAGTTGAGTCGTTGACCACCGACGCAACCAGGAATGCGTGTGTACGGTTCGTATGCTTCCTCTTGGTTGGTTTGGAATCAGGGTTTCAGCCAACTCCCTTGAGTGAAGTGCCAGTGGTTCGCCGACCCAGTTCTATCCTCGGATATTGGCTTTTCGTCATCCCATTTAGGTGGGTAAATAACGCTACAATTAGGTAGTGAGTAGGGCTTGGTCAATAGAGACTGTTTAAGACGCTTGGTCGTATAGGAGTTTTTTACGAGAACCAAGTGAAGGGTAACCAGCCACAACCCGAGACACCCACCCCGAATCATACTAGGCTAAGTAATCGCTTCACGGATTTAAATTCCATTCCATTGCGTTTCGCTCACTACTAGCCGATTGATTTCGCCGTGTTTTGTTTCTACCATAACCAAATTTTCACGCTTGCACTGCACGTGTGAGTGCACAATGCCAGCGAGAGTGGGAATTTCTGCTGACCAGATATTTCCCGTTCGGTGATTGACAGACGGATCATCTGCACCCGCGTCCAAACATGCGATCCACGTCGGCACGTCTTAGGGTAAACATCTGAAGAGTAGAAATTTCGGGTGATTCAAGCGAACCTTAGAGGTATTTCTTAAATTTGGTACAACACTGTCAGCTTTCTTTTTATGTTTTTTGTACTTTCCTGGCCTTGCAATAATTATGAAAGCAAAGCACAACGCGGTACTTCCGATGGATACATGAAGATGTGAGGTTCGTCCGTGACGAATTCTCAGATAACCTCATACTTAACAACATCTGCATTGTATGTCTTAAACGCACATCAACTGCCAACCAATGGTAATGTCAAATTTTGATTCTGTGTTCGCTCTTGGCGATTGAGTATGCTATTTTAAATTTATTTTGCTTTTACCGGTAAATTAACATATTTGATTTTTTGTTCACACTTCATCTTTTTCGTCTTTTTGATTCCAATCAGTCTTTATCTTAACTGGTATTTTTTTTTCTTTTCAGTCGTGAGACCGAACCGGCCAAAAAGATCCACATTCCCGCTGCCGAGGCCCCAGCGGAACCACCAAAATTCGATATTGAACCGTTCATTAGCCAGCCTCTACAGTTAGAATCTAGTAAGTTTGTTTATCAGCTTGTGTGATCTAACACTGCTTATGTATGTATATATGCATGTATGTATGTAGGTAGGTAGGTAATTATCAAACCAGAATGCAAGAAAATTCAGGAGTGCATGTATATGTGTAAAGCAAAGTAGAATGTATTGAGGAAAGAAGATACGAACAGCTCATATTGTATCGCATGAGTAAGATCCGGTGAGAAACCTGCTTGATTACTCTACATCAAGACAACTAGTTCTTACGTAAGGATAAATCAATTTAACTGTATCATCTGATAACGGCCGTCTGTATACAGCGATCTGAAGGTAGGTGAGCGTAGATTTCCATCCATCTGAGCTATTTACGATTACCGCACACTACTATCAAACCTGATTCCTCCAAGTAACCTTAGGCCTGGAAAATCGCGGTCTTCAGTCGGTCGCTATCGCGGTGACAACGACGGAAAATCCTGGGAATATGGTGCAAAGTGCTAGCCCTAATACCGCTCGGATTTTTTCTTCGAGAATACACCTTTAGTCCTAACGGTAAGATTCTGGAGATGGCATTGTTTGTTTCGGAATAGATTCGCGCACTTCGTGATATGTTTGATGGATATTGATGGCAAGGTCATCGTTTTTCAGTTGAATAATCACCACATCCGCTCACAGTTGCTACTTCCTTCACTACGGCTGGCTCATTGGGAAGGCCAAACCGGCTTCATTAAGACAACGAAGTTTCGTGCGAGTGTCATGCGGAAACGTCAACGTGATCACCCTGTATTTCTTCGAGAACACCTCTAATCTGTGTACAACCAGGTGCTGACTGCCAGGCAGCAGTGGGTTGGCACATGATTACAGGTGGTTCCGGCGAAGATCATTTGTCATGTTGCTTGTTTGGATTCAGCTTGGATTCATATATCCCTGTTGTTTAGTTATTTTCTTTTGTAGCTGTTGCTTCAGACAACAGGTGTAACTGCCTTCGCATCTTGAAAGCCTCATTACTGAGGTTTTCAGGCATCCGTTGCCCTCAGCCGAGTCTAACCTGTCCCCTGAGCGGTTGCAGGGTTGTGGCTGCTGATGCGTCGCTCATTTTATTGAACGTTGGCTAATGGATTTACACTAACGAAGTGAAATATACTCCAAGAAACACAACAGTCTGACATCTCAGAGATGCTACCCTCATCAGGTATCCCTTGCCCACCACGCAGAAGCTCCAATCGTCTGCAACCGCTTTCCCAGTGAAGCTTTGCTCGCCTATTCACGTTTGGCTACGAAGGTGATGATTTTCGCGACCTGAAGATGCGCTCGGTAGTGAAAAGCTGTGTTGGTGGTAAATTTGTTGTAGCTCACTGATTCCAGAATGAGCGTCAAGTTGACATATCCATGTGCCTAAGTTGGACTCCTAATAAGTTTGAGCGATGTTTCTTGCTACCGATGATGCAAAGCCAGGATAATTTTCGCTGAGAGCTTAAACAGCAATTCTATCGGATTTCCAACAACCTTATGGAAGCAGTAATGAGTTCCCTCAAAAGACCTGTTTATCAATAGATCTATGCGAATCATCTACAGTTCCACCTCTTGAACTAGGTTGACGGATAGTGGGAAAACAGTGTACATCTCGGCATTCGCTAATTATTCATACTTTTTTTTCATTGAGAGCAACATAACTGTTTATTCTTGCAGTTTGAACTCTGTTTTGTAGTAAATTTGATTTAGTCGCTAAACCGTTGATAAGGGTAGCAATCCTCTTCGGGTTGTGAAAAGGTAAACGCAGATGAAGGTGTGTAGGCTGGTGGTGATTAGCGGAGTTATTGGTATTTTTGAGAGTCTCATGGGCTATTATTCAACACGCTATTGAGGTATCCAGTGACTCAACGCACAGCGTGTTTTCTCGGATTACATCTGTCTGTCTGCCCGCGCCCCTCCCGTTTTCCCTAAACACAGTCACTACTGTGCGCCAACGTAATCTGGCTCCACAGTCTCAACCGAAACAGACAATTCAGTTGGAGCCTCATCCCAAATGTCT